TGGGTAGCATCCCTTACAGCACAATGGTTTACCTGCTTTCTTATCTATTGCGTGACAACTCCAAACATTTTAGTCAAGTGTTAATTACTTTTAATGTTATTTATTTGTTAATAAAAACTTAAGTTTTATTTTAATCCGTTTAATAATTTCATTATAATCTATTTATTTATATCAATACTATTATAATAAGGGTAAACACACACTTCTTTGTTGCCTAAGACGTCGGCAATTACACCATATTTTTGAATAATTCTTTTTTTAATAAAAAGCCCTACACTTACGTCACGCTTTAGGCTTTATTTTCACACTATTAAACTTAGGGGGTAAATATTTTGGATGAAAAACCCTAATGTGGGAAAGAGACCATAAGTTGCTGCCAACATCAAGAAAGCAAGGTTATTATGGTAACAGTAATTTTGACATTAGCAATAGAGAATTTGACAAATGTAAACAATAAAATAAAGTGTTTATAATCATGCGGATGACGCCGCACGGGGACAGCTAGTATTCTTAATGAAAAGGCATAATCCATCTTTGTTCTTTACATTTCTATTGTATAGTACGTTGTACAAGTTTTGTATCCTGTTGGAATGAAAGGGTAACTGACGCGACCGCGGCCAAACCTGTGGGATAATAATACCAGATAGAACCGGTCTTTCGCCAACGCCGGCGACGCGCGGCCGCGGCTCACACTCTTACGCTGTTAATGTTATTTTTTTCATAGTCTGCTGTACTCTGTGGCCTTGACATTGCTGTCAAAATTGACACAAATTAAGGACGCGTTCAAATTATAGTTTAATAGAATTCGAGGAGTTTCTTAATTTGTCTTTTAATAAATGTTTCAAGTATTTTTTACACTGCTAAATAATTAACAAAAATTGACGAAATATATTTACAATAATTATTTATGTCTACTAAGAGTAGTTAAACATTTATAGCCGATTTTCCATATCACAGTTTGAAATTGAATGTAGAATATTGTTTAGTAAAACATACCATTCTATAGACGTATATAAAAACAACACCTTTGTTTTGAATTTACAATGATTGTTTGCGACTGCTTAAAGAAAATACGAGTACAGTTTCATATAACGATTTTAATAAAATCAATTTATTATATTAATCATTTAGTACCTTCGACAGGGCTACAAAAACCTTAAAAAATGCTAATAACTGTGAAATGTTTAAACCGTTTTTTCGTTTTCACGTACGAGAATTTCTGATACCGATATACCGCCACCAAGCTTCGTTTCTACGAACTACTAAGTGACCAAGTAAAAAAATAAAAAAGATATATATATATCGTCGAATTGAATACCTCCTTCTTTTGGGAAGTCGGTCAAAAAGACCAAATTCATTCATATAAGGATACAAATAATAAATTTGGAGTGTCTGTTTGTATTATCCAAAGAAAAATTTCAGATTTCGGTAAGTTGATGTATTTGCATTGCTGATAATGAAAATCGCATATAAAATTTTCTGTCTGTCTGTCCGCAAGTTGCGTTTGTTCCGGGTAAACTCCGAAACGGCTGGACCGACTTCGACGGGGATATTAGATGTTACTTTTTTTATCTTAATAATGCGTGGTCGAAATCGCGGGCAACAGCTAGTATAAGAATAGACTTGTAATAAGTGAAGTCTCATTGTATAGAATAACATTTAATTCTAACATACACAACACTGTTTCGATTATACTCGCTTATTTAGATGGATAAAATATAAAGCAGAGTTCACACTGCTCATTTTTAATACGATGCAAAAAATGCTTTTTCGTTTTAATATCTTACGTATGTCCTCTTATAATAGATGGGCAAAGACTGTAATGATCTTCAATGCCAATAAAACGTAACAATAATAATATTTAGTTCGCAATTCGCAGCTGTAGACATCAATCAGAGCGAACACGCGACGTCAAACGAAACGCGAGTTATTGGAGCCACGTTGTACTTCTCAACTATGCATAGTCTAAGAAACTTATCTAATGGCTTAAAACTATTACAAAATGCTAATAATACGGCTTCACTAAATCCTTGTACTGACTTCAATCTCATTTCCGTGCCAGATAAGTCTGTGACGCTACATGAAAGTAGATGTACAAGTCTGTACTTATTAACCTGTGTAGGTTATTCCGTATTTTACAAATAGTTCAGCGAAATTAACGGTTAATCCTGTGTTTCTGACGTTTCTACATATTTTGTTAGCGATTCATTAGTGTTAGATTAACCTATCATACTTCATACTAATATTATAAATGCGAAAGTTTAGATGGATGTATGTTAGAGTTTGTAGCCTAAACGGCTGAACTGATTTCGATTAAATTTGGTATAGATGTAGAGGATAGTCTGGAAGAACACATAGGCTACTCACTTTTTTTTTACTTTCACGCGGATTTTTTTTTTATAACTTAAGGTGGCAAACGAGTATGCGGCCACCTGAAACCGCCAAAATGGCGAAGCGACCGCTGCCCATAGACATCCGCAATTGCAGATGCGTTGCCTACCCTTATACGACGGAGGAGGAGACGCAGATAAAGAGGATATTTCCCCTTCCTATGCATCTCCTCCACCGTCAAATCCACTTCCTCTTTCCAACCTCTCCTTATAAGAAAAGGGTGGTAAAGAGAAAGGGACTTAAATTAGGCCTCCGGCACCACACTCATCAGACGAAACACGGAATTGCTTCCATTTCACGCCTATCTTCTGTGTGGTCGTGGTATTACACCGGGCGTGCCGGCCCACTCGTGCTAAGATGTTAAAGCGGGCACTACCACTGTTAAAATACCACTGTTAATTCTACGCGGATGGAGTTTCCACAAATAAAACACGAGTTATGTTCGAAAACGCATGTCATAAAATCGAATTAAACACTAACGAATGGTTCAACGTAGCCGGGAAATCGACTATAAGTGTATCCAGTAACATTCGAACTATAAAACATTTCAAGTCAGTGTATGCAATTTGATATTTTTGTGTCTTACTTTTGTGACTTGATTAAAGCCGTCTTTTAATTCATAACCAATCAGAATGCTGATTAGCAGGAACCTAATACAATAGTCAATTGACATTCCAAACATTTCTTCTCTATTTTATTGCACAAAAATGTGGGTAATCACATATTCATCACCTTTGTCTTGAACAATGTTAGTCGCTAATTTATATTATTCTCTCGAGTCAATGTCAAGTAGAACCGATGCATATTGTTATGTTTGCTGGATAGGTCATTGCACCTTCCTTTTAACAAATGGATTGAGTTTATTTCGAATAACATTTACAAGTGTCAAGGATATTTACTCTCTTTTAATAGTTACTTGTTGATTGTTTAAAAGTTTAAAAATGAGATCTTAAGATCAACCGGAAAATGTTTACAGAATTTTAAATATGTACTTCGAGAAGGCATTGTGTAACTTCTTTTGTTCAAATGAACATAAACTATTGTTCAAATGACAACAAAATTAGCATATATCAAGAACAAAGGGTTTTTTTTAAATTTATGTTTATATTGGCAACATTGAAAATCCGTTTCCCATTTCCTCGACATCAATAATGTGCTCGACTATCGGAATGTTTATTGCAAAATTTATTGCAACCAGTTCTGTTATGAAGCGATTTAATTTTTCATCGTGTTATTGTTGTTTTCTTGTTAATTAATAGTCGTTTAGAAAACTTTCGTTTTAGGTTGCATTTCGTAATTTTTTGGACTGAAATTGATATTTGTACCGATTTCTTAGCTTCGTTGATAGGATAATATCGTAGAAATGTTAAAAATACGCCAAGAGAGATCTCTAAATGTTTAATTTCAATGCTCATTAAGATATTACAAAGCAGAAAAAGTATCAAATGTGTAAAATCAATCACTGAAGATGTGACAAAATCTAGATCGTCACGAGCCGAGCACCTCTGCCGCTTCGTAGGTACCTGAATTTGTGATTATCTTGTGATAATTTTGCCTAGTTGCAATGCTGTTGGGTAAGCCACGCGCGGAGATGCATGCAGTAAATAACATCGAGAAAGTAATCTACACGTCATTTAGATACAACCAATGTAGATAATAATGAAAACGAAACGTCTTTTGCTTCGATATTAATCAAATTTGCAGATTTTATGTAAGACTCTCTTCTGATATGTTTCAAAATAACGGCTAATTTCAAGTGACTCGCTCGCTAGCATTTTATAACTGATGTCAAATGTTAATAGAAAGATAAACAAAGTTTCATTGATGTGTATAAACTGCGTTGTTCAAATAGAAGTAGATTTAGAGCAATGCGTGTTCGCGGCAGTTAAAAACGTTCCACGAGTCTGTGCTCGCCGCGATCTCAGCGGGTTTGATGTTGTTTGGGTCGTTAATGTAACCAACAAATGGACGTAGTAAAATCCATTCCGTCACAATTATAGCACGGAAGTACGAAACAGCTTCCTACTGCGCACGGCTGCGTGCGGCGGCGGGTGCAGCGCCGTGCCGCCGCCCGTTGCACACCACATGCACCCACAGTACCAGTTGAGTTCCACGCACTGCAAGCTTTGTTTACCGGCCGGCGTGGCCGAGCGGGCCGCGGGGCTCGCTCACCGGCACTTACATCGATTGCCGGCGCTGCCCGTGCTCACTTCCAGCTAAGGATACATCTCTAAGCCGATTATAAAACCGGTACCGGGGCAGGACGGGAACGGCCGTGCGTTTTCTCGACTCGCAATCGATATTAAACACTGATTTGAAACATTTCGACCGTTGTCGTCGTTCTTGATCAAACGAATGTTTCGTTCTAACGTCGGCCGCTGCCGCCACGAAGGTTTCTTACGACAGTCGTGGTAAAGACAAAAAAAGCAGAGCAGTCATCTCGTATTGACGTTTCGTGCGGCCGCTCGGGCGTCACTGACAGACGCGCAATGTCGCGCCCCGAGCGCTGAACCGATGTAAAATCACTTTATTGGCGTTTTTTGCGCCTTTGCATAGCACACGGACACTGGACGCGGCAAAGGGCACGCCGCGGGGGCGGCGGAGCTCACCTGAGCCTCACGGGCGGCGGGATGTTGAACGCCGGAAACAGTTTCGCGTTGGGACTCTCGAACAGCATCGCGATTGTTTTTTCACCGTGCACGCATTGTGTGCCCGTCCACTCGGTGTGGCGGCTGGCCGAACACTGCCGGCGAGCTGCGGGGCGCCGCACTGCCCCCCTAATGCCTGACGTCACCGCCTGACAGCGCGGCCGTCGTCCCCCTCGAGCACGGCGCTTTCGAAAGGGACGCAGGATATCAAGACTGCAGTAGTGGCGTCGCGTATTGTATAGTTGAGCCCCTCTTATGTCGTAGCTTGTAGGGCTTCGTTCGCCTACCGGCCGCAGCCGCTGCTCGTGCGTGCTGCGTGCCTCACTCCTCACTCCAATCCCCTTTGCATTTCGGTCCATCATTACAAACGGTCGTAGAGCAATTAACAGTCGACAAATTCACAAAATCTCTGCACTTATTTGCTTACATTTGCCAAGGCACAGAAATCAATTCACTTTGAATGACGGCTCCTCGAGTTCATTGGAAGCAATCAAGCGGTCAAAGTTATTGGCCGCTGCGTCGCGCCGCGCTTGAATGTCAGCCTCGGCGCTGTCGTGGTTTGCACTCACCTGCAATGTACACTTACATTGATTTAGTTAAGTTTTACGTGTTAACGTAATAACCACATTAAATATGAATGTATTAAGTTATCTTTCAATCAAATGCGTTTTTAAACTGGCTGGCTTCATTATCATGTCATTTGAAATGGACGTCATAACAAAAAAAATTAAGTACTTACAATTACACCACAAATTACAATATTTATCCTTCGGCTTTTAGTGTTATACGCTACCTTGCAAACAAATGCAAATAATTACGATTAACAAACTATAAATCATTTTTCGTGTATTGTCACTTTCACTACAAACTAGTAAAACAAATTAAAAATTACACGTAACATTAAAAAAAGTATTCACGCATAATTACAAGTAATTTACAAGCATATTAACATATGGTATACATGCATTACGCGTAATAAAACACAACAACAATTTTTACATTCTTTAATTTATGAATTTTATAAAACACAATGGCTGACATGATAATTGTCAAAAGTAAACAATCGCCGCGAGTCGTTTTCGGTCAACTGACTGTCAATTTGTTATCGAAAATTATTTAAACGAAAATCAATTTAAAGCTTTTTAATTAACATTTATTATTTGTTACTTTGTTACATGTATTAAGGAAGAATAATTAATTTCGTTTATAGTTTAGTAAAAGTAATAAACTGAATAATTTTCTAATAAATTTGTAAAACATGAAGGGACTCTATTGACCGTTATTTGTAACGCCGAGCACGTTAGATTCGCTCGGATATAACGATTTATTATGCATTTAGTTTACGTGTTAGATAATAAATTAAGTATAATTAAATAAAAATATGCTATCACAATTCATTATATCTTTCTTTAGTGTCTTGTTTATTTTAAAAACTTTAGTTTTAAAAGATGAGATTTGAATTTTAGTGTGCATTGGTAAACAAGCTAAACTACCAACATAAGAAATTTAATGTCAAATTTGGTTTCTCGAAGTTTAGTAAAGAATAGTGGATTGTTCCCCATGTAAGATGTAATAATGTTTATAACGGAGGGAAAAATAAGAGTCGTCTAGATAAAATTTCAACATAAATATTATTGCATATTGTAATTTCTAAACCTGAGGTCGTAATAGTTAGGAAGCGTCATTTCAAGGAATATTAAAACTCAAATTGTTTTCTACATTTTATATATAGTATAGACTCTATACTAATGTTTTAAAAATTTGAATTCTAAGATTTTTGTACGTATTGAAACAACTTAAAAACGACTGGGCAGATTTCAAAAATTCTTTGACTATTAAAAAGCTGACCACACAGAAAACAGGTGTGAAGTGGAAGCAATTCCGCGTTTCGTCTGATGAGTGTGGTGCCGGAGGCCTAATTTTAGTTCCTTTCCCTTTCCACCCTTTTCTTAAGAGGAAAGGATGGGGAGGAAAAGTGGATATGACGGTGGTGGTGACGCATAGGAAGGGGAAATGTCCTCTTTATGTGCGTCTCCTCCTTCGTCAATGAAGGGTAGGCAACGCATCTGCAGTTGCAGATGTTTATGGGGAGCGGTCGCTTTCCATTTCGATGGATTCAGGCGACCGCTTGCTCATTTGCCACCTTATATTATAAAAAAAAAGCTACCTTATCGCTGAGTTCGTATATTTTTGAATTTCACATGAACTAAGTCGCGAGCAACAGCTAGTTTGGAATATAAATCACCGCACAAATATAGACATTCGTAGTTGGAATAACTAAATTATTTATTGCAACATATATAAATGTCCTAAAGTGTCCTTTTCTACGTTAAAATGCTATTTCCGTGCGTTAACGTTAACATTTCAGCCACAAATTGCAGAACAGTAAATCAATTATCAGTCCGCTCCGCTAATTGCCTTCGATAATAAGTTTTAGCTTCGACTGAACAGAATTTACATATTCTGAATAGCAATCGATGATTGTGATCTATTCAACAATGCTAATGAACCCCTTTTTTTAGCAGTTATAATCACACAAGGTTACTTTTGTCAGAAATTTATGAAACCTGCATCACTAAAGAAAATCGCGTAAAATAAAAAATGACAGCTACAGTACCATATTAAAATTGGTGTGTCTTTTTGTAATATCAAAAGAAAAATTCCAGATTTCGGAAAGTTGAAGTATTTGCGTTGCTGATAACGAAAGTCGCATTTAAATTTTTTGTCTGTCTGTCCGCAAGTTTGTTTCGGGTAATATCCGAAACGGCTAGGCGGATTTCGACCGGACTTTCACTGAAGGGTAGTTGACATAGACCCGCATATTATAGGCTACTTTTTATCTTAATATTGCGTGGACGAAGTCGCGGGCAACAGCTATAGATATATGTAAAAGATAAGCAATTGTTTGGAAATTATGTTTTTGCTAAATTATAGTGATAAGAGCGTTATTTTTTTTGACGCGGGGAGTGTGTAATTGCATTCCCCGCATTAAAAAAAATAGCGCGTTCATCATTATAATTTCTTCGCGAACTCTTCACCGCGACCAATTACCCATCAGGCCTATCTATTTATAGAGGTCAGTGTACAATACCCTATTCCATAACCTTGAGCGATTACAATTTGTGAAAGTCACTGTAAGTTTAGGGCTTTTTATTATTGTTACCTAGTTGACAATTTACAATTATTAAATAAGTTTTTTGCAATTTCACCAAAAGCCTTTATTTAACCTCGCTTTACAACTATTTTGTACAAAAGAACCCTTTTCTCTTTATAGCGATTGGGTGGCGCCATCTTTATGCAATAGACTAACAAAAGATGAAATATTACGCAATTCAAATCGATCTGAAACTCGATGACGGCGGACATTGTTGCAAGATAATAAAAACATTTAAAAATATTATTAGAAAGTGTAAAATAAACTAGATCGATGTTTTTGTTACTAATTGCACAACTATGGAAAATGTTCTCTTGTCCTTCGCTCTGTTTAACTAGATTTTATTATACAAAATATGTTAAAAGATATTCACTTTTAGCCAACATTTATTTTATTAAGGCACTCCTGGAGAGATTGCGTTTTTTTTGAGGAGGCGCGAAAGTTATTTTCTTCAATCTTAAGTTGAATTACCGATATATTTTTTATTATAAATATTTGAGTTATTTCAATACATACAAAAGTCCAAACCTTTCCTCTTTATATTAGTACTAGTATTCGCCCGCGACTCCGTCCGCGTGGTATTAAAAAAAACACAACCAAGTAATCTATGTGTTCTTCCAGACTATCCTCTACATCTATGCCAAATTTCATCGAAATCCTTTCAGAAGTTTTGGCTACAAACTCTCACAAACATCCATCTAAACTTTCGCATTTATAATATTAGTAAGATAGATTGTGGTATTTCGCTATTTCGAAAGTGATCGCTTGCTAGTTTGCCACATTTTTGTACAAAACTAATAAAACGCTGATAATTTGTTAGCCATTTTCCACTAAGCTTTTCGCAGTAAAAGTCGGACTAGTGGAAAAAGGTTAACAAAAAAAAATGGGACCCACCTGCAAGCATTACCTTTCGGATAAAAAAAAATTTATCAAAATCGGTCCACTAGCGGCGGAGTTATGCCGTAACACACATAAAAATACATACAGACGAATTGAGTACCTCCTTCTTTTGGGAAGTCGGTCAACAAATAAAAATATTGAACTATCAAAATAATTTTTCAATTTAAATTGATTATAAAATAAAACGAACATTTGTTACAAATTATTTATTTCCCAAGCAAATAACAATATATTAATAAGTCAACTTTGTTAACTATTTTTACAATTTTCTTAATGTTCTTTTTTTTATAACATAAGGTAACAAACGAGCAAGCGGTCACCTGAATCCGCCAAAATGGCGAAGCGACCGCTGCCCATAGACATCCGCAATTGCAGATGCGTTGCCTACCCTTATACGACGGTTGAGGAGACGCACATAAAAAGGATATTTCCCCTTCCTATGCATCTCCTCCACCGTCAAATCCACTTCCCCTTCCCATCCTCTCTTTATAAGAAAAGGGTGGTAAAGAGAAAGGGACTAAAATTAGGCCTCCGGCACCACACTCATCAGACGAAACACGGAATTGCTTCCATTTGACGGCTGAAAATTTAGTATTCACAATAAATCAATTTGTCTATTTTAATATAACAAAGTAGAGATTATTTACCAATCACTTTTAATACTACAGTAAAAAAACGACGTTTTTCTGTATAAAGTATTTATTCTTTTATTTGCAAAAAATATTTAAAACAAGTTAATTTTCTTTTCCTAGAATGACCTTAGTTCTAAATGTCATTGAAAATTCTTAGTAAAAAACTCCTGAGGAATATTTTATTTAGTAAATTAATACAATAGTTAGATAGTTATTAATATTTATTATATTAAGTAGTTTTTTAATACAATAAACGTAGAACATTCATTTTAAAACATATATCAGCTATTTTGTGGGATTATTCCTAACCGTCACCCCGCTGTCCCCTAGAGGGGACAGATGAGAATTAATTCTCGTCCGTCCCACCTTTTAGTCCCACTAATAAGGTGACAGATGGAAGGGTTAAAGTTCCAACCGTCCGGTCGTTGTAGGTGGGACGGATGAAACTTTTTATTCGCACCTGTCCCCCCGTGGGTACAACGAGGTGACAGTTGGGAATAATTAATTTTGTGTATGTTTTGAGACAGATATTTTAATTGGTAATTTAATATTGTTTGTGTGTGTGTGGAGGGGGTGTCAGGGAGAGGGTGCGAGGGTGTGGTGTGGTCAGCCCCCGCAGCCGCCGCGCTTGCAGGCGGAGCGCTTCGGCGGCCGATAGGAGGAGGTGGAGGCGCCTCCACTCAGCGGCAAGTAATCTGAAATATTTATATTGTTTAACATATTGGCGCCGTTTCTGCCGCACGCTAACAGATGGCGCTGTGCCGAGAATGTGATGTACTAATACACGATGTTTAAATTGTTTTCTCGCCACATTTATTCTTTTTAGATCTCAACCCCTTCCAAGGGCGGATCCCAGTCTTGGGCTTAATCGGACATCTGCAAGTGCGCACCGTACTAGTACAATTGGGAAAACGTACTAGTACACACTTTTAGTACCTTTAGTACTTCAGATTTGTGAAAACACAATACATGAATAGAATATAACGAGGGTTATATATTACTTCACATCAAATTTTAAGCAGGGTCAAACATATGTTATTAGCGAAAATAAATTTAGTTATGAATAATTTTATCCACTTTTAATTCTCATTATCGAAGGAGGATGCTTCAATCTGACAAAAAGGCGAACACCGATATCGTGTAGTGTACTAAAAGTACTAAATGTCCGATTAACAGAAGCCGTTCGGTAACGTTACTTTTTAGTACATCGTACGTGTACTACCCAAGACTAGCGGATCCAGTTTTGGCGTCAAGGGGGAGACACATAGTCGTGGTCACGTTAAGAGCTTGACGAATATGACCCATGACCCCCCCCCCTGAATCCGCTCCTGGCCCCTTTGAGGTTTGGTCGAGATCGTATCGTGTTATATTCGTTATTATTGTCGTTGTGTTTTGTAGGAGACAAACATATTGATAACCAAACTAGAGAGTGTCACATCTGTTTTTCAATATCAGATTTCGAAACTATATATTTTAACATATCAACAAACATGACTTTTGTTGATCAAAACGTGGTATTTCAACTTATTTCCTAAGTTAGCACACTAGTTACAACTAAGCTCATTAGTGACTTAAACTCGACTTGTAATCTACAAGTTCTGGGTTCAAATCCTAAAAATACTGTTTTTTATCCTTACTGTTATAGAAAACATTGCCTGCATCAGAGAAATGTGAAGTGAACCCGCAGTGCAGTCTGGGCCTGGTCACCCTTAGGGTAGACTCCGAGCCCCTCGGTAAAACACTCACCATCTCCCGCACCCAGCCTGTGTCCTCCGTTCTCCTCCAACTTCTTCAACTTCTCCACCAGCTCCGCTCTCTTCCGTTCTTCACGCTGCAATACAACTCTCGTTATCTGTACTAATCTTTCTAATATTATAAATGCGAAAGTTTAGATGGATGTTTGTTAGCGTTTGTAGCCTAAACTGCTGAACGGATCTCCATGAAATTTGTCACAGGTTTAGAGCATAGTCTGGAAGAACACATAGGCTACTTTATCCCGGGAATAGTTACGGTTCCCGTGGGGTTCATTAATTTAGTTTTTTATTGTTTATGTCATTCTGCAACGGTTCAACATATCTTATTGAAATTTGGCACAGATATAAAACAAAGTCTGGAGTATACTTGGGATAAGCTGCATCCCCGATAAATATCCGGTTCCCGAGGGATACGTAGCTTTTTGTAATTTATATAGTTTGTATGTTTTCTAATACCACGCGGGTGAAGTCGCGGGCAACAGCTCATATAATATAGCGTAAACACACTACTTTGTGTCGTAGGATGTCAATCCCAGTATATTTTCGAATAATTCTTTCTTTAATAAAAAGCCCTACACTAATGACAAGCTTTAGGCTATATATTTTCACGCTATTAAACTTAAGGGGTAAATAAATTGGATAAAAACCTTCATGTGGGAAAGGGACCATAAACTAAGAGCTGCCAACATCATGGATTATTATGGTAACGGTAATTTTGACATTTGCAATTGACAATTTGACAAATGCAAACAATAAAATAAAGTTTTTTTTTAATTAGATGTGGATGGAGCCGAATAGGGACAGCTCCCACATGTATCACAATACAATCTGTTCCCGTTTATAAAAAAACTTTATTTTACTGTTTACATTTATCAAATTCTTAATTGCAAATATCAAAATTGCCGTTACCATAATAATCTTGCTTTCTTGATGTTGGCAGCAACTTATGGTCTCTTTCCCACATTAGGGTTTTTATCCAAAATATTTTACCCCCTAAGTTTAATGGCGTGAAAATATCTAGCCTAAAGCGTGACGTAAGTGTAGGGCTTTTTATTAAAAATTAATGTTAATGTTGGCATCTTGGAGTTTTTGTCCTCTTCCCGCATTACGGTTTTTATCCAATTTATTTACCCTCGAAGTTTAACAGCGTGAAAATATATAGCCTTACGCCAGTTGTAAGTGTAGGGCTTCTTATTAAAGAAAGAATTATTTAACAATGCACTGTGACTGCTTACAGCTTACATAACAAAGCAGTGTGTGTTTACGCGTTATCATATTAGTATAGACAGCTTTTGCCCTTGACTCGGTCCATTTGGAATTAAAAAACCAAAGTGATTAGCGTGTGTTCTTCCATGTGCCAAATTTCATCGAAATACCTATTTAGTCAAACATCCATCCATCTAAACTTTCTCATCTTAATTCTATTACAAATGTGAAAGTTTAGATGGATTTTAGAGTTTGTAGCCTAAACCGCTGAACAGATTTATAAAACTTGTTACAGACATAGATGATAGTCTAGAAGAACACATAGGCTACACTTATTTTTTAATTCCACGCAGAGTCGCAGGCGAAAGCTAGTTTAGAAGTAAGATAAGTACCGACCTCTTTCTGTTGTATAAGTGCGTCGTTGGAGGCCTGCTCCAGCAAGCGCTGCTGGCGCTCGCGCGCCGCCTGCACCGCCGCCAGCCGCGCCAGCCGCGCCAGCGCTACGTCCGGGTCTACCCCACAGAAGTTACACCACACTGTTATTATATTGTACAACACGCTGTTGCTTGACACTTTATCCCCGTCTAATTAAAACGAATAATAAATACTACAGCCTATTACTTAACTTCAGATAATGTAACTTTCTAATAGTGAAACAATCTCTAAAATCAGCCAAGTTTTTGAGTTCTTTAAACACAAATAAACAAATTATTTCTGCTTATAATTTTAGTATATGCATAGCATGTATCATTTACTTTCATATCAAATCCCATCAAAATCAACCAAGGTGTTCCTTAGATTACTCAAAACATACGGACGGAGGAATATTATAAATTTGTTTTTTATTATTAACAATACAAAGAACACTAGAATTTTCTTATCGACTCTCTTTTGCCTATAAATAAGTAGCATGCGTTCTTTCAAACTATCCTCTATGTCTATGTTAAATTTCATTAAAATCCATTCAGCTATTTAGGCTACAAACTCAAACAAACATTCATCCATCTAAACTTTTACATTTATAATATTAATATGAAGATTGGCCCTAAAAATGTCACCTACCATTAAGTTTACCTTTATGATATGCTGCATCCTCCCTGTGTTGCCGCCAGCGCTCAATTCGAGGGATGAACTTGTGAGCAGCGTACAGCGCAGTCGCAGACACACCCACTAAGTACCAGCCGTATGAGGCTAGGAATTGGAGCACTGAAATAAATTGTACATATATCTTTATCAGTGGTAGAGAGTAAGGAGTAAAGTTATGGGGGCATATTATAAGGGATGAATCGCATGTTACAAGGAAAATGTTACTTATGAGTGTACACCGAAAGAGGTAGACATAGAAAGAGATGGATTGTGTAAAAGGTGACATCAAGAAGGGAGTGACTGAGATGACATATGATAGTTATTTGGAGGACAAAAACCTGCTGCACTACAGAAGTGGGATAAGAAGGAGGATGATAATGATATACCTTTAATATCCAACTAAAACACATGATAATTTAAATGTACTGTCATTTATTTTTATCTGTTGTACAAAAGAGGACATCCTGCCACTGTGTTGATAATTCAGGCCGTTTTAATGACATTACTATGTTTTATAAGTAGAGAATATAGAAACAATCAATATTTTATATAGAATTACTATATTGATTAATAAAACTAGCTACAGTCATTGAATCTGGCGATGCCATAGTAATGATGGGACTAATACGACAAAGCGTCACAATAACCAATAAGACAGCTTGTAAATTTCTCTGCATGTAAAAAGGTGACCGAATAGCACTCATTTGTTTTTTTATTATTGTCGTCAGTTTGCAATAAGAGGCGGAATTAGTGTCACTGCAATACACAAGACAATTTGGGCCAGTGGAACTCCGCAAATTTATGAAACTGTGTAAAACTATTGCTTGTCTAAATAATGTTCACTAAAATATAATTATTCGTAATATAGTAGCTGTACTTACCAAAAGTTATTGGGTTAAACATCGTCGGCTCTTCCACCCTATCCATTTATACAGATTCTCGAACTCCAAAAACTTGAACCTGACCTCGGGTCTGTAATGTTTAAAAAGTTTAATACCGCGTAAATATCGTCTAAATACTTTCGTTGTTGAACTTTTACATACAGTTTATGATAAATAATATTAATAAAAAATACTGAATACCTAAAATTTAATTATTTCACAATAATGACGTGTTGAAAAATAAATAGATTTTTGACGTTTGTAAACTTTTGACATATTTATTAGACATTGACAGTTTATTGTCCGTACATCAACTACAGATTATAATTTCGAAGAAGTATTGAAAATTAAATGAAATAATTGCCTTTTCATTATTTTATTTGTAAATTACAGCTATTTGTAAATTTGCTCTGTTTTGTTCAAAATTTACTAACCCTTGACTCTACAGAAGTGTTATGTGGGACTTAAAATACCAGTTGAAAAGTTCAGCCAGGAGTTTAATAAAAGACAAAGTCGACATTACAAAATATTCGATTTATTTTGGTTTCAACATACCGACACTGGTACATCTATATTTACACACAAAATATACAACCCATTCAATATTCCCTAATCCAGAGCCACGGGAGCCACAATAACTTAATTCCACTTGACAAGCTAGTCTTAATTACATCACAAAATATATAATTCTCATATAAGTACAAATCAGAAAAGTGTACAATGTAGTCTTCACTGTTCACGCATGCAAACAACCAATCACAAGAGACCTGTGTGACGTCACGGCTTCTGATTGGCTGAAATCCAGCAGCTGAAATTTATACATTTAACAGTAAATTGCTTGTAAACATAATTTATCACAAATTTCGGTCATTATTACTAAAGAATCTATATAATTTCGTTAGTAATCTAGGCTATGTGCAGGTACACTAGACATCACATTTACAATTAAACATAGAATGGACATTACATACAAGTTATCAAACAATTTCATCTAATTCAAATATAGACAATATTTACATAATTTCACATTATAAAACATAAACTACATCCTTGTCTATACCTTGTGCTTACACAAATGGCCCAATACTAAAACTTGACAAGACCACATTTAAACACAGAACCATAGTTTGTCTAAACAAGACACATTAGTTTGGCAATTCACGTGACAATTTAGTAGGCTTGGGTTATGTAAAATCAAGCATGAATCCTAATTTAAGTCCCTTTCTCTTTACCACCCTTTTCTTATAAAGAGAGGATGGGAAGGGAAAGTGGATTTGATGGTGGAGGAGATGTATAAGAAGGGGCAATATCCTCTTTATGTGCATCTCCTCCTCCGTCGTAAAAGGGCAGCATCTGCAATTGCGGATGTCTATGGGCAGCGGTCGCTTCGCCATTTTGGCGGATTCAGGTGGGCGCTTGCTCGTTTGCTACCTTATGTTATAAAAAAAATCTTTTTGATTTTTGCTCTTATAGAAGTTGGAATCAATAGATTCATAGTTATATCTTATGAATTAAAAAAACACTGTTTTCTCAAATTAATAATGACCTGCAGAACCATTACAAATAATGAGAGTAAATAAATATTTATTACTACTACAGCTACTAGATTTCGCTATTATTTCTGTCATTACTAAATTCTCTACATTATAATCAATACTAGAATTGTCCTCTAAATTAGATAATAAAAAAAAAATAAGTTCGATAGTTCATAATTGTTCACTGCGTGTTTCGTCACTACGATACCTGTCTATTAAGTACGACATTTACCTTCATACAAATTGAATTCAATACTTCATATGCGTCATTTATCAAACTAATCTATCTTATTTAGATAAACTATATATTTAAAAATTTCGATCTATCTGAATGTAAGTGGCGGTTACTTTGCAAAGTTTTATTTATTTCAGTATTAAACCATAAGTTGAGTATGGCCCCTAAGGGAGACTCTCTGTGTACGAAAATTACAGCACAATGCATCCACTTGATTAATTTGCATTGATTAACTTAGTTTTTATGTTAAAAAAAGAACATTTTGTTACAAAATACTTAACCAAACAAACTTATATACAGATAAAAAATGAGCGAGTTCTTAAAATAATTAGCTGTCAGATAAATATAAAATTAATTTAGCTAATTAAGAATAATTAAAAAATAAAGATGGTCAACTAAAGCAGAGATGAATTTTCTGCCACAAATTGACGTCACCAGAGATAGAAAAAAGGGTAGAAAACACCCCCTACCCTAGAATCTCCAAAAAAATATAAATCGTCAGTCTTTTGCATTCCTTTTCACAACTTAAAAATATATTTTGATGAAGTTATGTTAAGTTTTAACTTTTTACACTTGTTTCTTGTCCATGTTCAAAATATCTTATTTATTAGGTTACTTTCAACATTCAAATAAATTGTGCTAATATGTCTGTTATATAGAATAATATAAGGGCCTGTCCCACAACTGGCTGATAGAGTCTCAGATAGCTTAAAAATGACGTCACTGTCAGATAAGGGAACAAAATCCGATATTTCCATCACATAAGGTATGAATTGCATGTAACAAGGAGGCAGTTATGAATACACTGGTAGAGGTAGACATAGAAAGAGATGGATTATGTGAAAGGTGACATCAAGAAGAGAGTGACAGAGATGACGTATGACACAGTTATGGAGGACAAAAACCTGTTGCTCTACGGGAATAGGTTAAGGATGGATCTGACTCCATCATATATTTTATATGTTGAATTATTTTCAGACAATTTACAATTTAGTGGGACAGGCCCTAAATTCAACATATTCAGTTATTATATGATTTTAAAAATCAGTCAAATGTTAAGTACTCAGTATACAGGGTGTTTAATTACCAGTTAAATACAGCAAACTGTTACATATTGTTCATATTTCAGTAACGAAATATTTACAAATCAATACAGAATTTATATCCTAAACTGGCTGTAGCTCGCGACATCGCTCGTGTGAAATTGAAATAGCAAAAACAGCCTATATTACTCAGTGATAAAAAAGATTTATGATGCAAGAATTTTTGAAATTGGTCCAGTAATTTTTGAGTTATTATTACATGCAAAAATCCAAAAATATAAACACTTCCTCTTTGAGAGAAAACAGAATTGTGATTATAAACACAAATATAATGATTGTAATTGAATTAAAAAAAATACTAAACAATTCATGTTTTTTCTGGTAATTAAAAAACTGTATTTTAAGTTTATTTCCCATTTTCCAATTAATAACTAATGTTTCTTACTATCAACACATCACAAAGACAAGAATTATAAACAGTTTGACAATAAACATTTGGGTTTCTTCATTCACTGGTCATATACAACTTAAAATGTATTTCTCTAACATATACACAACATCCAGTGTTTACAGAACTCTCTACACATAGTACATACTCACCGGTACATATCTTCATATAATGGTCGGCACACACTTATCCAATTACTATAAACTCTGTTTTAGCACACTATCACTGCTTGATACACTGGTGTCCTTCAGCGGAGCACTCACTTGAGGGTGCTCCAACTAAGGCAGCGCTGTCTTCAGTTGCCGAGCAGACCGCGAGCCTTCGCCGTCAGACGGCGCACTCGCCCCCGGGAGGATATGGACACCGGGCCTCCGGACCGCAGCGAGCCGCCAGACCCGGAGCCCCCGGAGCCCCCAGACACGCCCGCCTCGCCTTCACCTTCCCCCTCACCGTCACCTGATACAAGATTTAAATGTACAATTAGGGAATCTACCAGTTATACACTTTTATAAGACAGTCGTGTAACATTATGTATGCAATTTTTTTAATATCTGTGTGAAAACAGTCCAATGGTACATTGGTATTTTTTTTTATGGAAAAAGCGGGCAAACTAGCAGCTTGGTATCAAATGGTCTGAGGCCCATGAACATCCGCAATTTTTATTATTATAGCGTTTTTGAACCAAATAGGTTATTTAGTTATAAAAGGCAGAGTTTAGTTGCAAAGATCGACCATTTTTCTGTAAATAGAACACCGCGTATTTCCGAGATTGCAATAATCTTAAAAATACAATTCTCAAAGTTATAAAAATATATTTTTTGCTGTTTTCTAGAACATAGTGCATTCCATCTTACTAATATTATAAATGCGAAAGTGTAGATGAATGTTTGTTAGAGTTTGTAGCCTAAACTGCTGAACGGATTTCGATAAAATTTGGTATAAATGGATAGACCGGAAGAACACATAGGCTATTCACTTTTTTTTTAATACTACACGAACGGCTTCGCGGGCGAAAGCTAGTCATTAATATTAACAAAATTAAATTTATACTACCTTTTACCATAATTTTAGCTAAAGATATGTACTGACCGTGTCCATTGTGTGCGTGCGCGTGCGCGTGGCCATTGAAGTAATTATGGTCGCTGGTGTGCGCGGCCGCGGTGCTCGCGCCCTGCCACAGACATTATTACTCGCTCAGTAAATCATTGACACCAACAACTCCTCTTTCTCTAAAGACTCCAAAAATGTAAAATAAACCTAAATAAGAGTGTATGTTACATATAATTGGTGTTTGTTAGTTTGTAGCCTAAACTGCCGAAGAAATATCGATGTCGTTTGTCACAGAATACAGGATAATTAATTGTTTCTTTAATGCCACGCGGAGTCGCGGGCAAAAACCAATATGTAATAATGGTCACTGCATTGCCCTCTAGCGTAGATCATGGTCTGGTGTGTGGCATGGTGTGGCATTGTGTGGCATGGTGTTGCATGGCGTGGTGTGTGGGGGGTGTCACCTGTGTGGCATGCCGCTGCCTGCGGCGCGCCAGCTGGTGCTGGTGGCGCTGGTGGCGGTGGTGGTGCGGCAGCCGCTTGCTGATGGCCGCTATGGAGTCCTCCTCGCTGTCCTCGTTGTAGCGGCGCGGCCGGCGCGTGCGCAGCGACACGCTCTGTAACATGCACAAAACCACAATATTAATATAAAAAAGGAAACATTTGTATTTTAGTATGTATTGAAATAATTCAAGAACTACTGGGCCGATTGAAAAACTCACCATTAAAAAGCTATATTATCAGTGTATCACTTACCCTGGCATGTCCCCGGTGCGAGGGGCCCGCCTCCTCCTCCTCCTCCTGCCGCTGTCTGCACACACACACACACACACATCACTAAATACTCTATTAATTCTAACTAATGTTTCAGATTATTCATCGGAACATAAAAGAATTTTCTTCGTGTTAAAACGACCTCAAACTATGACATAGACAAAGCGTCACAGAACAACTTAGGAGGTGATTGTGGTGACCCCCTAGGGGGTCGTGATTGTAACATTGAAAATGCAGTTATCCGTTATCCAATAAACCCCCTAAATTTTAAATTTAACTATACAAAACTGAAATTCATACTTATAAAGTATTTTTCATGTGAATATCTCTTTAAAAAGATTATATCAGAGCCTTAATTAAGGAGAAAAATGAACTGAAGCCGCCATTTTCTGACCACTGATCAACTTGTCTTTAAGACTCTTTTTTTTATCAACATCTACAAACTCTTGTTCCGTATTCTTTATTGCACAGTTTATATCTTTTTTATTTTCTTTTTTTTGGTTGCGTAGTCCTTATTACATCAATAAGTGCCTTTTTTTCTATTCATTTTTTTCCATTATTAGATAAGACTGACTCTTGGTGGTGATGATGATGATGTTACCTGTAGAGCAGCAGCGGGGCGTCATCATCAGTGGAGTACCGCGGGCGGTACGAGCGGTCCGACTCGTAGCGGCGAGCGGAGCGGCGGGCGGAGCGGCGAGCGGAGCGGGAGCTGCCTGACCCGGAGGCGGAGGCGGAGGCAGACCCGGACGCGGAGGCGGAGGCGGAGGCAGAACAGGACTCGGATGTGGAGCAGGAGGCGGATGTAAACCGCTCACGAACACTATACACAGTAATAATAAAACACTACAAACATCAAAGAAAAAAATTGAAATAAAAATAAAATTACAGTAATTGAGATTTAAATTCAATTTTTTCTTTTTCAATTTTCATTTTCAATTTCTCTCGTCAATTTTGAACATGACATGGTAATAGAATATACTGTATGACACTCTGAGGAAGACGAATCAAATGACACATCATTTAACAAAATTAGTTCAGTAGTTTGTTAAAATACAATTTACATACATAAACGTCTACACACAAACATTACCCTCTTTGTCAGTCTGATAAAAAATGCCTTTTAGTACGTAAACATATATTATAGTTAAATCATCGACCAAGAGATGGCGCTGTATTCTGTTGTATTAAATTTTCATTAAATGAAATTATTGTAAGACTGCAACCGTTATTAAATATTATATTTTTATATAAGAAGCAGTAGTAAAATTGTAATTTATTACAAATGTAACAATATATGTATATTACTGGCTGCATAGACATTTTATAGAATAAAAAAGGAAGAAAAAGTAAAACGGAAAAAAAAGATAGAATGTCAAGATGAAAAAAAATGATGTCAATAATTTTTGTTATGTTGTAAAATGAATTTAAGTAAAAATGAAGAAAAAATTACAAAAAAATGGTGTTAGTTTATTGAGAAAACATATAAAGTCGACGATTTTTATCTATACAAATATTACGAGTAAATATTAGTATTTTTGTGTTGAAATAACTAAAAAATTTCTCAACAGATTTCAAAAATTCGTGTACCATTTAAAAGTAACATAGTGAATAAAGTAAATAAAATTATTCAGTGAATTATCAGAAGTGAGTACAGTAGTAAGTGTGTCAGCGCCAAGTTCCCTGACAGTACACAATATACATACCGTTTGTGCGGTCGTCTGGTGCTGCCCGAGCTGCGCCTGCGCACGCGCTTGCGCTGCGCCCCCTGCACACAATACTACTCGTAAACTTCCTACGTAAACTACTATAAGTCAATATTTTACTATTTTTAAGTACTAGCTTTCGCCCGAGACTCCGTCCGCGTGGAATTTAAAAAAAAGTGAGTAGCCTATGTGTTCTTCCAGACTATCCTCTACATCTATACCAAATTTCATCATAATCTGTTCAGCAGTTTAGGCTGCAAACACCAACAGACATCCATCTAAACTTTCGCATTTATAATAATAGTAAGATTATAGCGTTTATATTTACGTGATTCGAATTTTGATATTCGAATTTTACATAAACTTTAACCAAGGTTTTTGTAGTAAAGAAAACCTCACATTACAACCCTCATATATCTGAGATTTAAAAAATATATGTATAGTCAAAATGCACTGTAGATTTGAAAATATATATTCATGTTTGATGCGTAATCAACATTAAGTGTTTCAAATTTGGTATTATAAAATTATAATTTCAAAGATAGGACAGTTTACATAGGAGCCATCGTAATGTCATTCGTATCGTATGAGGCGTGTGTAACTCACGTGTAGATGTGCGGGCTCGTAGGTGAGTTCCACCTCGTCATCCGCCAGCTCCTCCTCCAGCACCTCGATGTGGGAGCGCTCCGAGCCGCGCCCCGACACGCCCCCAGACTCTGCCCCCGACACCGCCCCCGCCCCCGCCTCGGACTCCGCCCCAGACTCCGCCCCCGACACCTCGGACTCCGACATCGTGCCGTTCGCCACCGATTCTTCTGGAAATCATTTAGTCTTAATATAGATTACCGAAAACCATAGACGGACCACAGATTCAAAAAGATATATAGAGGGGGTGTAGTTGACTTGAGATATTTTCACATAACTAACGCCATCTATTGATGGATCCTCAAAACCATTATATTTAAACTAGCTATCGCCCGCGACACTCCGCGTGGAATTAAAAAAAGTGAGTAGCCTAAGTGTTCTTCCAGATTATGCTCTACATCTATGCCAAATTTCATCGATATTCGTTCAGCAGTTTTGGCTACAAACTCTAACATCCATCCAAACTTTCGCATTTATAATATTAGTAAGAAGTAAGATTAATTGCCAATAAGTCATTTAATAAATGTTTACATTTTATAACAAAAGATGGCGCTATTTTTAATTTTTGTAAAACATTTTATTTCAAGGACATCACAAACGTGAGATGGCACTAAATTTAACAACATGGTACCTTTCAAAGAAGTTACCTGTGAAAAAAATATTATCTAATGTACACATTTGTTACATATCTTTGAGTCTTACGTCAATATTAATGTAACACACAACAAAGGCAAGAATGTAGAATGTAAAAGAGATGTCATTAGTGTTATCTCTGCCTACCCCTTTGTATAACAGTACTAGCTGTGCCCATGTGACTTCATCCGCTTTCTTCTTATTTTTATTGTTCACATTTGTCAAATTCAATTGCAAATGTCAAAATGACAACATGATGACAAAGTATGGCAACCTTGCTTCCTTAATGTTGGCAGCAACTAATGGTCTCTTTCCCACATTAGGGTTTTTATTCAAAATATTTACCACCTAAGTTTAATGGTGTGAAAATATAGCCTAAAGCGTGACGTAAGTGTAGGGCTTTTTATTAAAAAAAGAATTATTCAAAAATATACTGTAATAGCTGACATCTTAGGCAACAAAGAAGTGTGTGTTTACGCTTTATTATAATAGTATAGATAATAGTACCTGTAGAGAAGAGTACCGGAGCCCGACTGGTGGAGGGTGCGGGCTCTGTGCTGCGGGTTTTACTCTTTTTGCCCACGCCTTTGCCTGCGGATAGAACACATTTTATTACATTGTTAAAACCTGCGGCTTCATCCGCATGAAATTATGAAAATTTTACTTTATTGTTTATATTTCTCAAGTTATTAATTGCAAATGACAAAAAAACATACAGACGAATTGAGTACCTCCTTTTTTTTTTTTGGAAGTAGGTCAAAAATTTCATGACAATGACAAAACATGGCAACCTTGCTTCCTTGATGTTGGCAGCTTGTACTTTATGGTCCTTTTCCCACATGAAGGTTTTTTCTAATTTATTCACCCTCTAAGTTTAATTGCGTGAAAATATATAGCCTGAAGCGTGACGTAAGAGTAGGGTATTTTATTAAAAGTAGAATGATTCAAAAATATGGTGTGATGGCTGACATCTTACGTCACAAATTAGTGCGTTTCCGCTTTATATACTAGTATAGTTTACCTTTGTGGTTGTGGTTGTGGTTGTGGTTGGTGTTGGTGGGCGTGTCGTCGGAGGAGTGCGCGTGCAC